CTTTGCCAGGCCTGTCTCGGGATTCCAGGGAATCACAGTGGCTTGACCAGCAAATCTCCGAAAAATGGAGATCATGCTGGGGCCCGCTCAACCAGTGAGGACGGACCATTCAAGTATCAAGTATCAAGCAATTAGAAGGCTTAAATTTCTATTTCTCGAGCTTACTACTGAGAAAAAATAATTTGATCTCAAAAGGTGAAAGCCGTGAGTAGCCATTGTGCTTCTTTTTCCTAAGATTATGGCTGATAGGTGCCACAGAATTGACACCAGAAATCCACGAGCTCTTCAGAGGTCTCGTGGATGTAAAACAAATCATGCAACAGAAGGTGAGCTTCGAATGGTTTGCTCACCAAAAGGAATGCAATACCCAGGTGCAAATGAAATGCGAGCAAAACGAGGGCTGGAAGAGACGACCATGGAAACAAGAATCCTCTACGGGATAGAGAAAGCGTTTTAAAACACCATAACCGTTGCTGAGCCCGTCTTTTATTCTTTTGAAACCACAGTAACAAAACCTCTAAAGAAAATTTCGGAATTGCAGTGCTCATAAGTGACCACTTCTCCACCTCAAAGGTGAAAATGTGGTGATAAATTACAACTATGCTTTAATAGAAAATCACCTTGGGAATTACCAAATACTTGTTCAGATTACTGGCATCGTTTATTTTTCAATGAATCAGTTGATTAGAAGCTGCTATCGATAGATTGGAAACTTAAAACGTTGGGATTTGTCTCTCTCTCATATCAACGTTTCTTCATTAGATTTTCGCTAACTACACCAAACAAGAAGGCTATCGAATTCTGGCAGGGGTGAGCCACGCACTCTGCTAACTGAGCGGGTAGAAATCTAGTACGGGGGGTGAAGAACGAGTGAATAGTGATGACACAGCTCAAGCGACGCAATATTTGTGAATTCCAGTAACCTATTTGCTTTTATGTGCCTACATTTTACATAGGCAGAAAGTAGAAATGTATCCATTTCGCTTCTATAAGTGGCTTGAAAGTTCTTTGGAGAGCGACAGAACAGCAACCAGTTCAGACAGGAAGATTTCGCGACCGTCAATGGCGCTAATGAATAAATTATACGACAATGTTCAGCTACATAGAGATGTGTTGTTCAATTCCTGTTATATTTGCAAATTCGCGGATGTGTTCATCGAAGCTTGTTTAATGATAAGCGCTGGCCAATCATTCGACCGTCTAGTGGTTTTTCGCTTGCGAGCGAACTAGCTCAGGATTCGGGACAGTGCAGGCAGCAACGCTCCCTGCTTTTCACCTAGAATAAAGTTACTGCCGTGAAATTGGTAATGCTTTTTTCCGTCGACGAAGAAGTCGAATAGGTGATGTGTGCATTCACTCTGTGATATGATCTATGATAAAGAGTTTCGACTTCAATCTTATCTTCGTTCATAATAGTTATAACGGTATGCTTCAATTGTCAGCTACTCCGATAAACAGCGGTTGCCTTTCCTTTCGCAAAATGACAGATACAAACGAGTCGGTTTATTTCACATTAGTTTTCATTCTATATGGAAAATAGCACATTTATCTTTCCTTTTTTTGCTTATGAAGCACTAAGCACTAATGAAACCAACATGGATACAGCAACAAAGATGGTTTATAAGCTTTAGAGCACAGCAAAGATCGCAAGTAGAAGACATCAACCTACAAAATCGTGTAAAAGAAATGCAAGAACAAGTAGGAACGCTGTCCGCATTGACTACGGTACGAACGTCGAGAATTCTTACGAGAAATGAGATCGGCAAAATGACTAGACTATGGGCTACAACATAAGTAATCTTCTAATCAGGATGCTGACAAAAAACCCTTTCTTTAGCTCGAGTTGCTCTTTGGAAACCTGGAAAAAATGCCTTCTTCTAAAATATTAACCACGTGCTTCGCTCAATGCTTTACCGCCTCATAGTGAGGAAAGGTGTCGGTGTCGATGTGGATGTCTTGATGTCGAAATTCAATGCCCCGGAAGAAATTCATTAGCCCGGAAGTTTCACTTAGATCAAAATTCTATTTGATACCATGGATAGGAGTAAACCGATCCAGCTGGTCGCTGGCTTCCTTGAAGGATACGAAAACGGATTGCACTGCTATTCTACACAAATTTTTCCGCTTAATTCTCCACGTTTACTGGATGCATGCTCAAAGGGTGTACTTCACGTAATGAAAGCGCGATCTATCACAGCACGGTTTTTTTTCTTGACTGAGTCGCTATTTTCACTTACATCCAACATCCATTTAGGTAGTTAGCACCATACCTCAGGCTATTTCTCTGGCCTGACCGAGACACATTCTTCGTCCGTGGTTTCCAGCAAATAACTGGGAGGCTTACAAAAAACAAAACTGAAGAAGGCGATACCAGCGAAATGTCAACTCTTCTGCAATAACATGTGCTGCAATACCAATCGCTTTCCTCATCAAGAAAAACAGTAAATTATTAATCAAAATCGAGGTTAAAAGAAAGTCGCTCTTAGAATTTGTTAAATGACACGACTTTTATGGATACCTTGAGCTAACATCAGGAGTCAAAACAAAACCGGAACCACACCGCATTTAGCCTATTTCCATGGCACGTCTCGTTTACGAAGGCTCATATTAAAAAGGGTCATATCTAATGACATATACACTAATAAAAAACAGTACCTTTTTGATGTCTCCGTAGTATATCTATCTCGTACTACACTTCTTCAGTTCGGTCGTGACCTAGCAAAGGAATCTTATTGTTGCTCAAGGAAAAATATTCAGATCTCGAGTAGAGCCTTTCTCTCTTTGACTGAAAAATAGGGAGAAACCACGCAAGTTGGTCCTAGGTCAATAGACTAAAGACGAGAGGAAACAGATCCCAGCAGTGCAGGCAAAAAACACTACTAGAAGCAGAAAGATAAAGTTGTCAAAAGTACCACTGGGAATCACGGGAACAAAATGTTTCGCTATATACAAAGGTCTGTGGGGACGAAAATGGTACAACAAGTCATCGTAACGTGGGGTTGAGAATGAGAAGGTTCTTCAAAATAATGCTATCTGAGTTCCTAGATGCGACCAAGTCCAATGAGAGAAGTACAGTTATAAATCTGTCGTTTTCTTTTTAAGCAATCGTGAGGTTGTTAAACAGCATACGTTTACTTCCATACAATAACACACATACAACACAATCGTAGCTGACGGTTAATAGAAAGTCGTTCCTGGAAACTGCTACGGTTATAAAGCTGGAAAATCACCGCTTACTTCAATTTCTATGAACTTTCAGCAATCCAGTTTTTGCTGCATTTACTCTAAAATCCCCATGATTCTTCTATCGTAAGTGGCAAGGACTTTAGATGATGGCCGGCCGGTTTTCGCTAGAGATTGTAGACTGCTGTAGTAAAGCATCTCCAGCTGTACTGCTACATCTTTACAGCTTCTACTAACTAAGAAAATGTGTCATGTATAAAGTACTATGCTACCATCGCTTTTCCAGTTGCATAAATATAAGGTTCTAACCTACTTCAAGGTCGTGTGTGGCGCAGTGGTCGGAGGCGCCCTGCAATACACATGGGACCGATCCCAGCGGCCCTGCCCCACCAAAGCTCCCATTATTCCAGGATCTTCAAATTGGTACTAGATTTGTATGGGAGGAAAGCATCGTTGGCTCGATACAACGGTAGGTCACCACGAGTCAATGTGTAGGGCAGGTATTCAATCACCTCCAAACGATGCTTAATGAAGGCGAATGCATGGCACACCTCCCAGGGCTCGATCAATGCCATGAGCCTTATCTTTTTTTTAGCCTACCTCAAACAAGAAAAGTTTTCCAACAGATTTCACTGAATCAGAGTTCGTGAGCTAACGAGTGCATAAAAACACATTGTATGTAAAGCACTATGCATCTGTTATTGAAACCAGAAAGATAAGGCTTTTCCCCTTAACCTTCCCACTGTGATAGTGGAAGATAAAGTAAAAGTATCTCGCCTGTGATACTAACCGTGGCATTTCGGTGGACAGCGGGTGTAAAGTATGGCATGGTGCAGTATTTACAGAAAATTGCTGCATAACTCTCATTGATCTGTTGTCACTACCACCTCTTTGAAAACCGACAGTGAGGAAGCTGCAAAATTGAAAGAGTTTATGAAGTGGATAAAAAAGTGTAAGTGAAAATAGAAACCCAGTCCATGAGCAACCCAAGAGAGAGCGCTCCTTGATTGCACAGAATCCACCCCTTTGAGTACATATCCAGTGAACGTGAAGAAGTAAATGAAGGAGGACTTAAGTAGAAGACCAGTGTAGCCCGCTTTGAAGCCGCAAGTTTCCAAAGGCTAGTTTTAGCTAAGGGAAAAGAATTTGGTCGGCATCCTAACTTTTAGAAGCTTATTTATCCTCTGGTCCACAGTCTTGTCATTTTGCAAAGATGTGATCATGTTATTGCAAAATAGGTTACGTTGTTTAAAATAAATTTCTGGCTTCTACATCTTGTGAAATGCTTGCCAATGGTATTTCAGGTCACGCTGTTGCTCACTCTGTTAATGGTCATTCTGTATATTCTCGAAGTTATGTGTCGCCCTCGGATCAGGCAAAAAAGTGTGCGTTTTTCTCTCCTTTTTTATTTCTTGTTTCTTCTACAAAGCAACAGTTGCTTCGCACTACTCTCAATTACCTCAGTAATAAGTTAAAATTCTGGTCTTTATGTTTCATGGGTACGCTATTAGTCTTATCTTTGCATACTGCCAGTCAATATGTGTGAGGTTAAAAGACATTAGCTAAGTGTCAATGACAGAATCTTTAGTTGAGATTTCCGAATCTTCCGACTGCTGTTGTGATCCAACCCAAAGATCGTGAAGATGAGAAAAAACGGGAAACGAAACCAAAAGATGGAAGTGGGAGAGCCGAATGGTGGACAACAATTACGATGTTTACAACTTAAAACCTGTTTTGAACAAATCAGAAGAGAAAATTGCAGAGTAGCCAAGGAAATAAGATACGATGTGAATTTTTAGTTCGATTTGTTCTTCACAATGGAAAGGGTTTATTCGTTCAGCAAACATAACTCAAATCGACATTTCCCATCGAAAACAGTTACATTTGAGCTTGACGTGAAAAAAGCGGAAGTCGAAAAGCAACAGAAGGAGAGAGAAAGGGAAAAAACAGCAAAGGTGGGAGAATGTGAATCTATTCTGAGTGTCTATGTGCATCCTTCTATGAGCTTTTTAGAAAATGATAAGAGCTTGCTTACTGCAATGAAACCTGGAAATTTGCTAAAAGTAAAGAAAATCTTTTAAACTTTACAGCAAGCTAGGAACCAAGAAAATGAAACAGTATGGTTAAAAAGTGAAAGTGGTAGAGAAAGGTGCTATTTTTCTATTTTACTCCCTTGTATTCTCTATTTCTAGAAAGCAACAGCTGCAATGGTGTCTGTGCCGCTTGGTGCACCACCAACCTATGCCGAATCGAGGAAAGTGAGTACTAGGTCATCACTTGTCACAGAACCAAACATAATTCTGCTGTCCGCCTAGCGAATGACACTGACAAAAGTGAAGTTTCCCACACGTCCATGTTCTGCACCAAAAAGGATTAGCAAGAGTCACAAGCTTATAGGAAGACGAAAAGCTTCAAATTCTTGCTACAAAGTCTTTTTTATCGTTTCTTCTATGCCGCAGGTAGCCGGCCGGGATTTGTCATAGAAGGCAAAGGTAACTTGCGAATTTTTTCGGAGTGACCACAGGGTTTAGTCTTCTCAGCGACCACACGCAGCTTCCTACATATTTTCCAATCACTTGGTTGCTAACTTCGCTTTAATATCAGTGGGATATACACATTTCCACATTCCCACCACCACACCTCCGCTCCCCCAGCTCCACTTACATATAAGCAGTTTCACATCTGTGCAAGCATCAAAGGTATTCTTCATTCTCGAACGGCAACAAAAGCAAGGAAGTCATAGCTGCATCCAAATGCTTATGTTAGATTTGATACATATTTCACACATATTCGTCGCTTAGTGAGCAGATTTAATGGAGAATAATTCTGTAATTTCTCAGACGTTTATGATACGTAGATCGCCCATGTTTGGGACTAATTTTTTTTGGCTTCTACCACAACTGTGCTTCATAGGGAAAATCATTTTTAGGACGTCGTACTAGCAAGTAATGTGATGCCAAATAACGCTCCAGAAAAACGTAAGCACCAGAGTCTTAAGGGATAAGCTTTGGAGGAGCACATTTTTTTGTTCTGTTTTTAGGGCAATTGGTAGCCAAGGCGGTGCAAATTTCTGAAAAACCCAACCAGGTGATGTGAAAACGTTCTTTCGCCAAATCTCGACTTCGAATGGCTTGTTGTATTTTTTGTAAATACATCGATCAGTTAGGCGATTCGAAACTACGCGTTGGTATTGGTGAGGTTCAAGTAAGCTAAACGATGTAGCAGTGGCTGACAGCAGAGAATTTTTGCTGTTGTGGCAGTTGTGTTGATTTATTCGAAAATTGCTCCAAAGGTGAAAAAGTGCGCTGATTTCAAAGATCTGAAAAAAATAGGCACAAATTTGCATGTTAAATGCAATAATAGGAGTGGTAATTGTGTCATGATGTACTATTTGAGCCGTGATGTCTTGAAGTCCTAGACCAAAATAGTTCTGGACCAACATAGTGAAAGTAGCCGTTGATTTAGTCCAGAGATTTGAAAATTTAGTTGTGGCTTTAACCGCAACTTTACTTCTCTTTCGTCTGAAGGTTAAATTGTGTTGGTCGTTTTCACCTCAGCTTTCAAAATTTCGTTCAAGAAACATTTCTGTGTTGAAAGAAGCTGCTATCATGGTGTTGTTAGATTGTCAAAGAAAAATACTAAGCTAAGATCTCGTTATAATGACAATCTTAACTCTTTTATTTACTGCCTTTTTCTTCTTAATGGCAGGGTATGTTGTGAAATATAACTCGTATGAAGTGCTGAGATGTCTGATTATAACGGGGGGCCTCAGCTTAACTGGGTTCAATGCCGATATTGGCTCCCCAGATCAATCCTGTTGACGGGTGATTGCTGATGGCAAAAAGATCGATAGAACTAGCTGAGATACATGCAAAGCGGAGGACCTGGATGGTGTAGTGGTGAAGTGCGCTGCTCCCCGGTAAGGACAACAGCGCGTGTTCGTTCCCCACTGCATACACCTGTGGTCCGGAGTTTTGCAGATATCTCAGCACTTCATACTAAGCTAAGAATTGAGACGGCATTTTGTTTGTATGTATCCAGGGAATGGTCTCCGTGTTTCTGTTTCATCGATTTGACACATACTTTTTCCATTTACGAGGGCGTATCCATGCATGTGTGCGTGGGTGTTTTCACGTTCATGCGGATTGTACTATACGATCCAAATCGGCCAAAATCATACAATGAGGAAACTCGAAAGTGCACGGGAGGCGGTTAGGAGTAGCCTCCAACAAATACTCTCCTCGTATACTCTGAGGGAGACTGGCAAGCTACTCGTGAATATATCCAGACCGACGTTCAAAGCTCAGAAAGCTCATAGTGGATGTCAAATGCTGAAAACACTAAAATAAATGGCCCTCATTGCCTTTACTCTGACAGGACCTTCGTGTTTACGGATCTAGGAGAACGTCAGAAATATATCTCAACATCAGCGTCTACGGGCTGTAACGTAACGAATGTGGGGATCGGCCTTCTGGCTCTTGAAGCTCCGCTCTCAACGCTGGACGTGAGATTCTCGCAATGGAGAGTACCGTAACGAAATAATAACGTAGTTAAACATGTGGCTCAACGTAACCGATGTCTGTTTTCTCAAAAATCTAAACGGGACCACTTCATCGCCTCTTTGCAAGAATTCATTAATTTGACTTTACATTTTACATAATTTGCCTTCACATCTACTGTGCGGATTCCAGCACTTCTCTTTCTCAGCTTTCTTACATTCGATTCGCTATCCTCTCATTCATCGTCCGCAAAGGTCTTCGAATATATCGCGTCCTAATTCAGCTGCCTTCCAAGGGTTTACCGCCTTATCGCGGCTTGGAGGTACTCCGGAGTGTCGAGTTGAGATGTACAGCAAAAATCCATCTCCATGGCAGAGACTCCCAAACTGAGAAAGAGTTCAGCGTTTCTTTCAGGAAGCCCAGCTAAGAGCAAACCAATACCAGGATCCGTTACCGTTCTGGTATCAAAGTAGTCGCATGGTGGCAAAGCTCCCCCTGATTCACAAGAGCGATGACTACTTGTGGCAGTGACGAACTTGGGCAGACTTTCGCATGGCTAACCTCGCCGCTCCTGGAAACCGCAATGGCTAGATCAGCAAAGCTTTTAAAAAACGGAGATTACACTGGTGCCAGCGCAACCAGTGAGGAGGGATCGCCCATGTATCCAAGTAAGATTCAGCCGCTGGTTGAGGATTTGGCCTTCTTTATGAATGACGTAGAATGTTGGTCAAGACCAATTCTTCTTGCAATTTTAGAGATAGCCCTTAGACGGCTCCGAGTGGATTGGAGGACAGCGTTGTACCGGGGATCGAACTAGCGCCTTTGAATACTGATAGGCGACATCACTAACTGCTGCACAATCGTAGCCTCGCGAAATTTCATTTCTCCCGAAAAGTAAAAAGACCCCACAAATTCAAGAAAGAGGTCCCAAACCAACATAAACCTGGATTTGGTTCATTCGCTCGCTCTCGGGAAGATGTAGTTATTGACCACACCGACGAGAAATACGACCAGTTTATTAAATATCTTTACCTTAGTGCTATGGAAGCTGAAAGGTCGAAAGTCTCCAAGAGATTTCTATCTACAGATATTCTCTAGATAATAAGCCAACGGGTAATCGCGCGAGTTTTTGGCAATCGAGATTATCCCACGGGTTCTCCTTTGTTTAACTCGATATTTTCTCTCGTAAATGAAAAATCGGACAATACCTTGATCCAGACAGTATAAGGACCAACCACTTGAAGAACGTTCCCCAGACATGTTGCCTTCCAGAATACAGGGTCCCTATTCAGTAGAAGACCAACAAGACTGTGTTATTGTTCTAGAAGAGGGACATCATGATGTCAGCTGCCATCGCCCAATCTGCTTCATGTCTATCGTCAGAAAACTCTGTAACTCTGTCGTTCTAAACAGCACTGACAGAACATTGGGCGAAGAGCAGCGTATGAGTAAACTGGTCTTCGAGAAGGATTCAGTATACAGATTACAACCAGACAATACCAATAATCAGTGAGGTATCGCAGGAGTTCAAGACCACTCTGTTTCATTTTCAGTGATTTGAAGAAACCTTTTAAGTCCGTCGAAACAGAAGCATTCATGGAACCCCTAGACGATCAGGAAGTCTGCTCAATATGTAGGCAATCTTCGTCAGCCATAAAAGAGGCTCGCATAGAAGATATTGCCATTCTACAAGAATATTAACATAGACGTCGAAAGAGGTGTTGGTGAAGGCGATACCATCTCGCCAAAATTATTTATCGTCATCCTCGAGAACGCCATACGAAAAGTGGAGGACAATATGGGTGTGAAAATCAATAGTCGAAAATTGCATCATCTTCACTTTGGTGGTGAAATAGTTCTTATAACACCAAGGATCAGCGGGGTGGAACAAATGCTAAGCTTCCTTGATAGTGCTCGTAAAACGATTGGGCTTGGAGTAAATTTCACAAAACACGATGTTTATTATGAACCAGTTTGTTTTCTGGCCGTATTCACACTCAAATATCTTCAAAACTCCCAGTTACGTAACTAAGTGGGGAACTCGGTATTATGAATGACTTAGCTCCAGAGTGGAGTAGGAGGCAGCGAGCGGCTTAGGTATCTGTAAAGAGCATGGAAAACGTGGTGAGCACAACAAAGATTACCCATCTTCGTGCCCACCTTTTCGACTTTTTGCCCTAACGTGTACGTCAAAAACCTGTTCGTTACGTAAGCATGACAAAACATCGCTTACTGCTACAGAACATGCAGATGAAAGAACGGTGCCACTACCATCCCGCAATGCGCGTATGAGGGAAGGGATCCGAAGTTCTGAATTATAATCTAAACTCACTACTTACTGCCTACTCTTTTTAACGACAGGGTATATGTTGCGAAAAATAACTTTAATGATGTTGAGATATTTGCAAAACTCCGCACCGCAGGTGTCTTCGGTAGGGAACGAACGCGCGCCATTGTCCCTTCCGGGGGGTGACGCGTTCACCACCACACCACACGGATCGCTCGTTTCGCCTGTCTCTCAGCTAGCTCTATCGATCTTTTGCCATCAGCAATCACCCGTCAGCGGTATTGTTCTGGAGAGCCCAAATCCAAAAATAATGAGTTAAGATTGTGATTATAAATGCAGCCTCAGCTTAACTGGGTTCGTTGCTCCCCGGAAAGGACAATAGTGCTGAAGTACGTCAACGATCAAAAATCAAACACGCCGTTCTAAACGACAAGTTGTGCAAGACGCGGTAGGCCAGACACGTAATGGGTATGAACGATAGCCGATGGAGAAGAGCCGTTATAGACTAGATTACCCGGGATGTCAAATATACTACAGAAAAAGCGTTGACCCGATGGTCAGAGTTCTTCATAAGAACCTGTGAAGAAAGATATGCTCCACAATTATTCCCGAAGGCAACCAGAATTGAATGAGCTACTCTTCCATGCAGTAGGGAGAAATGGAATGCTTACTGACGCCTTCTTGTATCACTCGACGATTAACGGAACTACAGGAGAGAGGTGAATGTGTCACGACCCAACTACATGGTTGCGCACACTTTGCTTTCGATTCAAAGTTGATTAATGGTAAATTCCTACCTATTAAATGCGAAACTCCTCCATGTTTTCACGACATTTGCGTCGTTAGAGTAGCATTAAACAGCATAACAAAAATTATTTTACCAAAATAACATGTATCATAAGTTTAATAAGCTTTTAGACGAGCACCACAACTGCCTCTGTGTCCACCACTCAAAATGAAAGTGCCGCAGGATCACTGAAAGCAGGTGTTATTCCACGTCTTGTACCTCAAGGCAGAGAAGAAAAGGATGAAGCACCTATGCCTACTCAGCTACCAGCAACGGCGAGTTTAGCGTCTTCGTTACCTGTCTCAGCAAAACCACCCACCCTACCTTCAAACAAATACACAGTAAACGCCCCAAAAGGACGACGCCCACCATCACGAACACAAAAAAAACCTACCGTCAAAAGGAAGACGCAGTGGATAGTGGGTTCTGCCGGCGGATCATCAACTACCACTGGAACAGTACTGTCGATGTCATCGCCAACTGAATCACAGAGAATGAATGCCGACGATGATTCAAAGCTTGAGACAGCAAAGGTGAATCTTTTTTTGGCCGCATTTTTAATGGTTCGCTTAAGAGCTGAAACGTAAGAACAAGAAATGGAGCCATTATCGGTGGAGTGGAATGTAAAGTAGTTGTGCCTCATGGTCCCTCTTGAACAATAGCTTTCGCACCCGTAAAAATGTTGTTGAGAGACTGCATCCACAGTATCTATGATGAAGTATTGCGAACAAGTTCAGTGTACATGTTCCCTCAGTATCACGTATTTTCTCAACAAGGCTGTCGATCTTCTGTTAAGTTTCTCAATATTTCTGTATGGGCCATAATTGTTGCTTCCATCCTGTGTCGCAGTTTGTCTAAAGCTCAGCTTTGTCTACATAAACGTTTTACTTCATTTTATGGTTTAAGTAGTTTAACCTTTAAACAACTTCCTAATCATGTGCGTTTGAGGCATCACCCTCTCCTATGCAAGCCATGCCGCCAAAGCGGAACACTTGGGTGTAGAAGGGGTGGGTGTTTTCACAAATTCACCACACCATATCAGGATGATCTACCTCAGTGATTAATCAACATCGCACGCCTTAAGCTCTTGCGTTCCTTGGTTTTCTATTTAGGAAATGGTTCTGCTTTTTTAACACACTCCGTTAATTTCACAGCCAAAAATTAGGTGTCCTGCATATGAAAAAGACCTGTGAAACCAAATTTCGTTAATCTAATTACTTGGCAATAGTACTAAACTGTGTATGAAGCAGTGTTAACATCGAGCGATACACATTGTATGAATGAAAGCATATAGTATTAGTTTGTTATCATTCCAAAATTGGTGTCGACATCGTGGGTTGACAAAACTTCCCATTCACACTTGATTAAGTGTCACCGTCACTGTTTCCTATATCCCTGTAGTCTCGTTAATCATCGACTAACTCGAGTGGACACCAATTAATTCCAATTTCCTCACGTCGGACACTATGGCCGCGAAAGGCATAAGAACAACATCATCCTCTTCATACGCTGCAGTTTTATTATAAATGTCATTGCAAGAAAATAACTGTTGGGCCCTAGCCGGAATCATCGCATTACTCTTAAACGGGCTTCCGAATGTCGAATTTTTTTCTCAGCTAGGGTGAGCATGATGTTCGATACTCTATCGTCGTCCTTTGCATCCATCCTAGATATCCAAGAACACGTATTTACGATGGGACGACCAACCATTAGGTGGAATGTAATATTATAGTGAAGTCTGGCAGAGTTACGCCTATTAGTTGCTGCCGGTAGCACGGCATGGAGGTTATTATCTGACATAGCCTCTTAGTTTAAGCTAAGAACATGACTTTCATATGTCACACTGTGATAGTTGAACTGAGTAGTAAAGAAGAGTTCACTAACGACATTACGAAAACTATCGGGTTATTCGTCAGCTTTGATTATGACGCACTTTTGTGAAATGTTTCATCTTTCAGGGAGCCCCGAAATAAGCTGAAATTTCAAGCATGACATCATATATGGAATAATTATGGTTTCTTATAATTGAGAGCTGTTTGTGTATCAATAAAAATTTTGTATGACTTTAAAGCCGACTTGTTTTTCTTTGCTGTGTGCTCGCATTTATTAATTTGTAAGCGTTAGTGAACTCTCTACGGATGCGGAAATTCAAAAAGACTTCACTTTGAAGAGTTTTGATTACGGCAAGACGCTATTGTTCCAAGAACAAACAGCATTTTCCAAATGTGAGCTCTGACGAGAACAATGAGATGAATCAGCGAACATCGATGCTACCCCTCATTTTTCTCACACTGAAAGTTCGGTGTGATGGAAGCAACCGCCTGGAGGCTGGAACCTTGAAGTACGCAATATGCCTGATCATATCACTGAAGCCTAAACCACCAACTGAAACGACCGCTAGTATTAGATAAATCTTTTTATTAACAATCTTATGTCCTCTCAAAAAGAGAGCAATGAATATGAGGTGTGTTGCAAAGGGATCAATCTCTAGCTTTGATCTCTAGCAACTCAGTGGTGATGGATTTGCGATATTGACTTCTTTATCGCAGTTGCTAGCGGAATATAGGCCTTCGAGTTCTCGACACCGAATAACCACCAGCTTTAAGCAGAATGCTCGACTTCGTGATAAGACGTCACGCGGGACTTTTCGTAGTTGACACAGGACAACAGCTTTCGACACTCAAACTTGGGATTAAATCTTTATATACATAAAGGCAAAACCCAATACAACAGGAATAACGATGAAAAGAATACTGGCGTAAGAATAAGGCAATGAAGTCGAACGTAAGACTCCCAAAAGCACCTCCCAAGTCCCAAAAAAGAGGCGGTGCTCGTCCGGGCGTGGCTACGTCCAAGCGAGGGTCAAGGCCCAGGTCACGGGGTCCATTCCCCAAGCAATGATACGTACCCAGCAGCATGCCCGGTGGTGTGACCGATGGTCACGTGATGCTGTGTCTAGTCGTGTTGTGGCAAAGGCCATCTCCATCGATCCATTGAATGTCTGCTAGGTAGATAGAGAATTTTGATAGAGGAATTCTCTATACGAAGTTCCTTAGGATGGGATCAAAATATTTACGTACTACGACATTTGCCAGGCAACTTGAGAAACTGTAGATCTGATCCTTACTACAGAAACATGCAGTAATAGAAAGAAATAGTAACTATTCCGGGGATAGTTGCTATATTCTTGGTTTAAAATCAGTGCGGGCAGTTCTTTATAAGTTCTTTGAATTCCAGCTCGTCTTATCCAATTTAATCCTTCTACAGAACTTTAAAGGAATAATGTGAATTTTTTGCTAGGTTGTAGCCGGATTGAGTTTTTCCAAGGAGAATTCGGTGAACGGGTCCAGTACAGAGTAATAACGCTCCGGTGATGTGCAAGAAGGATTGTTTTCTACTCGCAAGAATGTGGTTGGTCTCCGCATTACTCCTTATCACATAGAGCTTTGCAGAGAGCGGTGATTATCTTCCTCACAATCATTCCAATCAATGTAGAAAACCAAACACAAAAATCAAGTATAAACACTGCCTATGGCTGTATTTCATTTATTTATTTATGGCCGCTCTGGCTTACAGTGTGGTTGTTCTACAAAGATGATGGTATCACGGAACGAGTAAGTCCAATCTGAACGATGGGTACGCGTTTTAGAATCAGGACATGCAAAGCCACTTTACGCTGACCAATTTCAGCGACTACAGCCCGATCGACCATTATAACACTTGGTTGGATAGAGGCGACCCGATAACCTTGTTTGCGCTGGTATGCAACTTTACTTGAAGATTTCCTCTTCATATGAGGTTCAACTGAATTTGTCTAGGTGCTATTTAAGTATTTTGCCAAACAAAGCCTATTCATCAGTGCGCAGTTTTAAAATGCTGGAGATGATGAGTACTTCAATGTCCATTCACAGAACAAGAGAACACTAGCTGACCAATTTGCAACCTCTAGAAGATCGTATTCATGGCAACTTTGCGTCTTCTTCGGCTGCCGATGAAACTAAATACTAACTAAGGACAAACCGTGTTTTTGTCCTTGTATGAGCAATGACATTGCCACTCTTGTAGGGTGTCTGCAGTCACATGTTGAGACTGATCGAATCTCTAGTCCAGTTCGTTGCAAATATATCGAGACTGGGTAGTCTGCTAGCGACCCAGCTGATTTCTCTCTAGATTTTGAAATTGTTGACATTTGTCTTTGCAACGTGGGCCGTCTAAAATATGCATGCCACCTACTGCAACTCGTCATACTAAATACAATCTATCGGTATTCTTCTAGTATTCTTCTAAAGCTGCATTGAAGGTGGGCTCAGGCGGAGCTGCAAAGTCCACGCTTCTTGTTTAAGTCCTAATTGCTACACATAGAAGAAAAATTTTCTCTCTTCGGAGCCCTGATACCATGATAGCCCTGATAGCCGGTTTATGTTTCCAACAATTGGGAGTATGTACTTCTAGTGAATTTTTATTGAATTGGTGAAAAAGTACTGGTAGATGCTGATCATCAAGAACTCTACAAACATGCTTTATAATACGCCTTGTTTAGCGAATTTGCTCGGTTAAACGATGTTTCCTGTCATGAGTGTCTCGTCTCTACGCTGTTTCAGCAACACCAGATCTCAAGCGCGGGCCATTAAACTGCATAATCGGAATCCTAACCGTTTTATTTGCTGCCTATTCTTTTTCACGGCAGGGTATGTACATACAACTTTGTTTCGCCTGTCTCTCAGACCCGCATGGTGTGGTGGAGAACGCGTTACTCCTCGGAAAGGACAATAGCGCGTTCGTTCCCACCGCAGACACCTGCGGTCCAGAATTTTGCAAATATCTCAGCATTATAGAAGTTAAACTGTTTAAATAATAATACTTTAGAATAGCAACAATGGTTAATATTAATACTAATAAATAGCAATAATAATACAATAATAGCGAGGTGGTGATAGTGAGAACTTAAATGTTAAAAAACAAGCAATAATGTAATCAGAACGTAGAGATCGTATACATAGCAATAAAGAACTTTGGCATGATATCTCTTAGAATAGTGTTACAATGATATAACTAAGAGGCAATAATATTAGAAGCTGTTGGCCATGAAGTATGGTGGGCGGAAAGGGGATAGTATATTGTTACGCATTCACCGATCAACAAGGATCTGCGGATGGTCACAGTCTACAGGACACTAGAATAAGCTGAGTATCATTACACAGACACATAAAGTACAGCAATCAAAAAGAAGAGGTGCAGATATAGTGTAGAGATGGAAAGAGCGTTAAGGCGCAATGGGAAGGTGCAAAACATATTACGGAACAGTACCATGAACTGCAACTTCTGATGATGGCAATAAAACGCAGAGTTAGGTTTCGTCAACAGTGAACATAATTAGAAAAGAAAGTGTGCGGTTGGATGGAAATACAGCAGCCCTTCATGGGAACAGCTGCTGTATATCCATTGCTTGCGTAGTAACTGTATGCCATTTTAACCTTTTTGTAGCGTTGCTACATGCTGGATGATATCTTTACTGAAACCTATTTTATAGCAATGATAATTGGAATTATACCCTCAGGGCTAACATGCTTCTCATTTTTTGTCATTA